CAATTCCAACAATCCTTTCCATATCTTTGGTTTCTCTGAAACTCGATTACAATCTTTTATAAATGATGTTGAGATATCCGTCTCTGATTATAACCTAATACGCCGAGACCCATCCTTACACAAAGAAACTGGCCTTTGTGTCTATGTCCACTCCTCAATTCGTTTCAAGTACAGGAAGGATCTGTCAACGGACAATATAGAATGTATTTGTATTGAACTCGAAAAAAGCAAACACCATCCGGCAATTTTAATTTGCTTCCTTTATAGAAATCCCTGTGAAAACATGGATTGGTATGATCGTTTTTGCTCCATGATGGATACCGTTTTATCTACTAACAATGAATATATCATATTGGGAGATTTTAATATAAATTTATTAAAACCTCAAGGATATTGGCAAGATATTATTGATTCTCTGAATCTAAAACAATTTGTGCACACGGCTACCAGGGTAAATGATAAATCAAGTACAATAATTGACCACATATACGCATCACCTGACTGCAACCTAATAGAGGTCTGTGTCCCCTCTTGTGGTGTTAGTGACCACTTCCCTGTTTGTTGTACTTTTTCGACAAAAAGGTTATGTGTACCTTCGCGGCAACACATAACTATAAGTTATCGCTCTTTTAGAAAATTTAATGAAAATCTTTTTCTTTCGGATTTATTGGCTGCCCCCTTCTGCAATGTATACAATTATAATTGTCCCGATCTTGCCATTTCTGAATGGCATTTTCTATACTATATATGACAAACATATTCCTAAAATCTCTAAAAGGGTTAAGACTACATACAAACCTTCTTGGTTTAACAACAATATCGAATCTGCAATTAATAAAAGAGACTGGCTTAAACGTTATGGAACTTCTGAGGACTTTTGTAGGCAGCGAAATTATGTCAAACTGCTCGTGCGTAGGTCGAAGAAGGAGTATTTTTATAAGCTGTTGTCAGACAAACCTAATTCCAAATCTATCTGGACTGCTATAAATCAAATAATTAGTAGAAAACGCACATGTAATACAGCTGGACATTGCCAGATATCTGCTGAGGACTTTAACAATCATTTATATCATCTGTAGCGCTCAACACAGATGCTGATTACACAATCAGTGAGGATCTTAAACATTTTTGTAATTCTGCTCACCGTGGTAGGACAGAGCTGATCATTCCGCTTCTCACTGTTCATGAAGTATATGTTAGCCTAAGATCTCTTAAACCGTCTTCAACAACTTCGTTTGATGATATCTCTAATAATGTATTGAAGATTTCAGCTCCAATAATTTCCGAAGTTTTAACCTATGTCTATAACCTCTGTATTGCCAAGCATTATTACCCGACACATTTTAAGCATGCTAAGGTTATACCACTACACAAAAAAGGTAACATCCAAGATGCTAATAACTACGGGCCAATTTTTATACTGTCTTCCCTCTCCAAGCCACTAGAAATACATATAAACAAATGCATTTCAAATTACCTAGAAAAGCTCAAGCTTTTCCATAGTAATCAGTCTGGGTTTAGAAAGTTTCATTCTTGTCACACTGCTCTGATTAAGATGAATGAAAACTGGCTTAAAAATATTAACAAAAACCTACTCTGTGGCTCGCTGTTTGTCGATTTCAGAAAAGCCTTTGATTCTATTTATCACACCATACTTCTTAAAAAACTAATTCCATACAAATTCCACGACTTTACAGTTAGGTTACTTCACTCCTTTTTATCTAACCGATCTCAACGCGTGTTTCACCTTAATACCATCTCTTCACAGAAATATGTTAATATAGGGGTTCCACAGGGCTCAATCTTAGGTCCTTTACTTTTTTCTTTATACATTAATGATCTTCCATTACATATTGACGCTGGTCAGTGCGAGATGTTCGCTGATGATACTTCCTTGCATGTCTTTGCAGACAGTGCTGAGTCACTCAGTTACAAACTTCAAACATGTGCCAATCAGCTTGCTACTTGGACAAAATTTAACAAAATGAAACTTCACCCCGATAAAATCAAGTCAATGTTTATTACAACTCATCAGAAACGCCTTCGTCTTCCATCCACCGCATTAAACATTACTATAGACAATTCAAACATTGAACAGGTAGACAGTTACAAATGCCTAGGATTGTTTATAGATCACAACCTCACTTGGTCTGACCATATTCATTTTATAAGAATGTCCTTATTAAAGACAACCTTTCAATTAGCAAGGATAAAGAACTTTCTCAACTATAGGAGCAGGCTGGTTTTTTATGAGGCTTTTATTCAATCCAGGTTGGATTATGCTTCTGTAGTGTGGAGCGGCAGCTTTATATCTAAGCAGCGTCCTCTTTTTTCTTTACAAAAAAGGGCTATAAAACTGGTTACTGGCTTGTCTAGTAGTCTGGATTCTTTTCTTACAACTAAAATACTTCCATTAAATAAAAAGATAATATATACTAAATCAATTTTCTTATATAAAATATTCCACGAAACAGCCCCCTCTTACTTATCAGATCTATTTTCTTTTAACATAAAATTAAATCGTCGTCTTAATTTACCATTCCCTTATTCAACCTTTTTCCAAAAACATAGCTTCGCCTACTCTGGTTCTAATTTGTGGAACAATCTTCCTAATAAAATAAAGCTATCTAGATCTGAAAATATATTCAAATCTAAACTAAAACTAAAATTATTTAATGACCTAACTGACTCATTGTAACATTTCTCATTCATCTATTATATTCTCTTTTTAATCTCATTATGTATGATAGCTATGTACCATTGTTTCTTTATTCCACATTTTTAGTGCTATGTGTTACTGCTATGTGTTATTGAATTGTTTTATTTGTTTAAACGGCCAATGTGAAAAAAGGCCTTTGTGCCTACAATTGTAACCGTTGTTTGAATAAAGTTGAATAAATTTGAATTTGAAACGTAATTTGAGCTATTATAAAAAATTCATTTCCTGTTTTCTTATAAATATTGACATTTGAGGAAGAACAAATCGGGTTACTTTAGCTATCTTCTGTATTTATTTAAAAGCAACATAAGTTACTTTAATATCCATTTATAAACAGGCCTACTGGTAAAGAAAACCTATGCCGAGTGATGATTTCTATAAGGTATAGTTAACTAATTATTTCTTTAAAATAATTAATAAAGCTATACGAAAAACTCTTTACAAATTTTCTTTCCATAATATTAATACAAAAATCAAAAAACTTTTAGACCCTAATCAAACGTGATTCTTAACCTTTTTTTGGGGCACCGAGCCCCATCAGCTTCATCTGCGCCTTTACTATACCCTTCATAATATGAACGATAAAATATTATGCTTTTCAATCTTAATTCAAAACATAGGTATATATTTTACTGGCGCACAAAATGAATCGCACATCAGCATTGGTTCAACGGATAAAATCATTAAGATATGATTTTCGCACAAAAAAATAAAAACGTAATAATGAATATTTATTGCAGATCAGTGTAACTTCTGCTATTACCTTTCAGACATTGAATTAAGCGAGCTTTATGTTCTTGTATGTTCCATCTCCGTGCAGCTTAAGAAAGTGTTCTATTAGTTTTGCCGGTGCTAGAGACTAGAATTACTCAACTTGCATTACAAAGCAAGCACTTAAGGCACTGCAAACTCGCATCAAGTTACGTTATACATGTGAATCCATACGGTACATATTCATCCGACCACTTTTTACTTTCTCGTAAATACGAAGTATAGAGAAAGTATTGTAATCGTGCAAAAAAAAATCGAGATTTTTACAAATCTCGACGTTTTACATCTCACTGATACGGAAAAACATGATTTTGCAATCTTGTCGTATGTCTGTGTGTCTGTGTGTCCGTCTGTGTGTGTGTGTAAACACGATAACTTGAGTACCGTTACAGCTAGGTTGATGAAATTTCATATATATGTATTTTATCAAAATCGTAGATCCGTATCAACTTTTGAGCGATTTCCGATAACCGGAAGTGGTACTTTTCCTACTTTGAAATTTTCAAAAGCCTATAACTTGAGTACTATTTCAGATAGATAAACGAAATTTCACATAAAGTAAAAGATCTAATTCTCTACCTTCTGTTAAATTTTGAGTAATTTCCGTTGAACGGAAGTAGTAATTTACGCTACTTCCGATTTCTCAAAAAACTAATGTAAATTTTTAAAGTACTAATAATATTGCGCACTATAATGCACTTTTTTTATTTAGCGTTCACTTGGTGTGCACATCTTATGTCTACGAGATTTTATTCTATTTTTAAAACTTTAAGTATTTAAAATGGATTAAAAAATTAATAAAAAACGTTTTATTAACAAGTTTTTATGTAATGATGCACTAAAAAGTAGAAAATAAATTATACACTACTATTTAAATTACTATAAAGAAAAGCGTGGCGAACGGCGTTGTGTCATTTGAGTGTGCCAAAAGATGCAAAAAGACAGAATGCAAAGTTAAGATAAAGATTCATGGTGAACAGCTTGTTGGACGTTGTAATTAACATTCGCATTCGGTGCGTAAAGTGAAGGTATAAATAAGAATATGAAGCAATATTGTAAGTTAAGTTTAAATGATCATCAATAAACACACTATAATTAAATTCACTTTTGGAGTTCTTCATTATACGACGGTATTTTGTATATAGTTTTGTATAATTATAATATATGTAATTGTAATTTGTTTTAGTTGCATGTTTTATTCTATGATTTTCGAGGTTATTTATTTAAGTAAACAGCGCATCTTGATAAAGATCATACAAAAATGTTGTTTTTGAATATACAATTTTGAAAGTCAAGGGCCCCAAAAATTGTTTCAGCCCGGGGCCCCGACCAAGCTTTTTCCGCTCCTGTTTGTAGCCATACAATCCTTGTGCTTGGTTCAAATGCGCATTTATTTAGCATGGGGAATTACCGCACTATTAGATGTAAGTTGAACAGTTATAAAATGCATTTCCTGTGCTCTTCCAAATATTCACCTTTGAGGAAGAACAGTTCTAGTTACTTTTGTCAG